AAACCAGCGACAGTTCTGCGAGCGAGGGGCAACTATTAATGATAAAACATGCTAAAAATTAGAATGGCAAGGAATTTCTTCCCAATCCTCTCCAGGGAATGAAGCGTGAGGATAGGAAGTAGATCTAATTAATAGTGCTATTGAATTTTTTATACTAGTGCTTTACTTCACTTCTTAGGTTGTAGGGAAATTCTGGCAGTCGATTTTTTTACAAAAAACATGTTTCTGGCTAGGTGCAAGGGCTTGTCTTTACCACTACTGGCTTGCTTCATCCGGGGCTTAGAAAGCGAGGGTTGATAGTAAATGATTGTGCAGCTGGCGTAGTTCATTCAAGAAACGCATTTTGGAGACATTTCTTTCCTTGAAACAAAATTAATGTTTTTTGAAGATATGGCTATCATCTGTTTCGAAATTCGTATTGGCTAGTACCAAATCAAAAAGCCCAAAAAAATGTGTTCGAGAAAATGCGGAAGGATAAAAAGGTATCTTATTATAGAGCTGCGCACAGTGCAACAAATGTGCTATCGTACATCTTTAAGAAAGCTGAAATACGATTTTTGATCAGAATTTAACATATTTCTGTTTTAGTATCCACAAAAAATTGGCAAATATGACGTGAAATATGTGCGCGATTTAACAACTGGATATGACAACGAACAGGCTGGAAATAAGCCAGTTAGTTCATGAATTTTATCACTGAAGTTCTGATGTAAATTTACACTGATTAATGAGCTCTAGCACCGACAGTGGAAATTTGCTTAAAGTTAGGAGCAAGCTTAAGTGGGTCCGATTCCCTGGCATGCACTAGTTCCAGTTTTATCATTCGAACTGGCAGTTCCTAGAAGTACTAGTCTCCCAGTTGCGAATTCTACTCACTGACCTCAACAGTCGTACCATTTGCCTTTATACAAATTCGCTATCGAATAATAATTTAAAATGTAATGATTTAACCTTGTTTAACCTTCCCAGGCTTTTCTTCGCCCTATTTCATGTCTCTTTTTTTTTTTTGAAAAAAACTATTCAGCATTTAAAAAGCAGAGCAGTTAACGTGCCCAGAGTAACTGTTAATTTTTTCAGATTTTACCGATCAGTACTTCATCGGAAATGATTACATTTACATTGCCAGATGGTAGCTGGATAACTGTGCGCGCAAGTGGTACTGAACCGAAAATCAAATACTATATTGAACTGAAATCAGCTCCCTGCAAATCTGAAAAGTGATTTTTTTTTCTGCAGTTTCTCATGCAGGCAGCAGTTTCTTAGGTGGCCAGTCTGAAATTCTTTTAGCTAGGAGCATTTGCCGGGAAAAAAACAGTGCCATTAGCGACAAAAATCACGGGAAGCCATGCAAAAAACGCACCTTCGCACGGGTAACCCGTGCATTGGCCAATTATTATTGCCTGTTGCAGTGCTAGGCCTGTGCGAAGATGCGTTTTTTGCACAGCTCCCTGCAGATTTTTGTCGCTAACGGCACTGTTTTTTCCGTCAGATGCTTTTAGCTAAAAGAATTTCAGACCGGCCGCCAGGACTGTCAGGAAACATCCCTTCAAAATTCCAGCCTTCTAGCTTCTCAGGTTCCCCAGTTAGCAACTTATCAGAAAAAAACTTTTACAGGCCCATACGCGCGAACCACTCATACCCGGGGGCTAGGTTTGAGTTCATTAATACCTACGTGAATGAGGAACATCCCCTCAAAATCACAGTCTTCTAACTTTTCAGTTCCCGATTTAGCGTCTTACTCGAAAAAAACTTTCATGGACCCGCACGTGGGTATACCGCATACCCGCAGGCTGGGTTTGAGCTCATTAATATCCACTTGGATGGGGAACATCTCCGTAAAATCCCAATGCTCTAGCTTCTCAGGTTCCCGAGCTAGCAACTTATCCGAAAAAAATTTTGGCGAGCCCAAACGTGGGAATCACGCATACCCGAAGACTGGGTTTGAGCGCAATGAGACTTAGGTGGACGGGGAATATTCTCTTAAAATTACAGTCTTCTAGCTTTTCATATTCTCGAGTTAAAAACTTACCCGGAAATAACTTTGGCGGGCCCGTGCGTGGATGCCACTCGGGTAAGAACGCCCATTTTGGGGATGGCGACCCGCACAAGCATGTGGATTAAGTTCCAAAGTTTCAGCCCTATAGCTTTTGTAGGGCTCGAGATGAATAAATAGCAAAGTGCACCAGACTAGCCGGTGCGATCATGCGTTTTGTGCAGTTCAGCCCATCGAACGATTGCCTATTTTCGCTGCTTTGTACTTTAGTCTATGCAAAAATAGTTCAAACACTGGAAAATAATTAAAAATTTAATACATTGGCGCATGAAAGCTGAATTCGAAGTCTTGAAGGGTGTATATCTTTCCGCCATTCCCGAGTTAATAGTTTACCCGCCAAACTTTCACGACACGGTAGTTGATACTCAAAAGCGTGAGAACGCTGAATTTGAATAGGCAAAGTCGAGCGTGGGCAGGGGGTCACTACTGTAAAATTTCGGCTTTCTAGACCCCGTGGTTCCCGAAATAATAATTTATTCGTAAAAAATTTTACTAGCCCGTAGGTGATACCCGAGAGCGCGGGAACGCTGAATTTGAATAGACAAGGTTGAGCGTAGGCAGGGGGTCATTACCTTAAAATTTCAGCTTCCTAGACTCCGTGGTTTCCGAGATAATAATTTACCCGTCAAAAACTTCCACGGGGCCGTACTTTTTACCCGCGAGCAGGGGAAGCTGAATTTAAATTCTCTGGCTAGCACGTGGACGGGGGACATGCTCGCAAAATTTCAGCCTTCTACCTTCCGTCGTTCTTGAGGTACTGATTTTACTCGAAATACTGATTTTACCCGAAAAAATTTTACGAGGCCGTACATGTTACCCACGGGTACGGGGAGGCTGAATTTAAATTTGCCGTGTCACCCGTTGACGGGCAACACTATACTAAAATTTCAGCCGTCTAGCTTTTATGGTTCCCGAGTTAAAAGTGTGGTACAAAATGTGAGACACACACACAGACAACCCCTTGAAAATATGCGTTTTTTACTGCTGTTACACAGCACAAAATGCATGAAAATCGGTACAGGGTCCAGCGCGCACACAGACAAACACACGCACACAGACAACCTCTCATCACTATGCGTTTTCTGCATTGCATAGCTGCAAAAAACGCATAAAAATACATATTGCGACGATCCTGTCTGTATGTGTATGTTTGTGTGTGTGTGTGTTCATCTGTCCTGGTAATCGCAACCACGCTGAAATTTTCTAGTGCGTTCCCTGACCAAACGCGACCTCAGGAACGTGATATTATCAACTACCGTGCACATCTACGTCTCAGGCACGAGCAAGTGGTAGTTTTGGCGAAAACCTTGCTAGCTCAGAATGAGAAAAGCCAGAAAACTGTAAGTTTAGGATAGTGTTCCCTACCCATGTATGGCTAAAAGATTTCAAATTCAGCTCCTTAGAACCTCCCGGACTCACGTACAGGCGTATGAAAATTTTGGCGGGAGAACTGCTAATTCGGGTACTAGAGAAGCTAGGAAGTTGAAACTTTAAGGCAAACTTTCACGTGCTCGTATATGAGATGCGGATGGTTCTAAAGAGCTGAATTTTTTTTTTTTTCAAAAGATTTCAAAAAAGAAGATTTAGCTCCTTAGAACCATCCGTGTCTCACGTACGAGCACGTGAAAGTTTTGGCAGGAAAATTGCTTACTCGGAAACGAGGAAAGTTGGAAGGCTGGAATTTTAAGGAAATATTCTCTGTTCATGTGCGTCTGAAAGATTCGTTGCAATTTCCTCCAACTACTGTGATTCCTTGCAATTTTGCTACAACACGAAATAGTGCAAAAACGAGTGACTGCACGACCCACCTGATGCGTTCCAGCTTGGGTACGGAAGATTTGATGTGTAGGCGGGGAATCAAGCCCGAGAGCCACTTTCTGTAATACATGCCAAATTTTGTTTTTTATTTAAACATAGCCGAGCCGACATGGGTTCCGCTATGAAACGCACCAGGCGGGCCAGTGCGATTATGCGTTTTTGCACTTTTCATGCTGCAATAAGATCGCAAGGAATCACAGTAGCTAGCCCTCTGATATACTGGCCCTCGGAGTTTGGGAAGTTAATTGTGGAGCTATGTGGTATGTCAGGTGTAGAGATGTCTACTTCAGTGGCCCGACAAATGGGAAGTTGCTGGCCTGCGAAAAAGGCCGCACTAGAAGAGTTAAATCTGAAATCTTATAGTCGCACATG